GTGCCTTGCATGGTGTCAAGTATCAGAGGGGTAGCCATGTTAGTCTGTATCCACAAAAACAATGAGGCTTTTTTACCAATGAAAGCTTATGCCCAAATAAATCTGTTAGTCTTTAAGGTGCCACTGGACTCCTCGTTGTTTTTTGGGGGGGATCAGATTTTGTTATTTATTACATTAATGTATCTCCTAAAGAACATGTTAAGCATGTTCAATAATTTCACTTTGGAGTTCTGATGAAATAAACAAATCACTTGTGTCATTTTTGTGATGTTACCAGAACCTCTTAACAGGAGTTGGTGGGACAGTATTCCTGAAACGTACAGCCACTGAGAGAGTTTACAAAAACAAGCAGTTTACTAGGTAGGTATCATACATTGAGTTTTCATCTTTTTTATAGAGTGGTTTAAGCCTCAAGAAATATTTTATTTTATTTTGTTTAACATGATGACTTTTTCATAACTAGCTACTAGGGGAATCATGATAAAAGAAATAGAGGCAAACAGAAAATGTTCACTTTCAAATAAACTACATTCAGCTTTCTGACCATCTGCAGAAATTTGAATCAGATGTCTGCTGTTCAAGTTATTTACTATCTACTTAAAGCTTCTGGCAATGTTATCAACAGGAAAATGAGAAATGAGGTGGGAAACAGTAAGAGAACTTGAAAACAAAAGCTTAGGGTAGTGGATCCTTTAAATGTAAATAGTTTCCTTTATCTCCAGGCTTATCTACTCAGCTAGCCACTTGGCACATTGTACAAAAAGTACATACATACAGCCTCCTAATTACCAACTTCTTGGTGATTGTGTTGTGTTGGCCTTGATAGTCAGATATTACTGTTTCAGCATCAGCTTAAATTTAGTTCTTAGCATATAGTCTGAGATCTAATTGGTTGGAAACTTCCGCTTTTCTATACGCAATCCCATGGCTTTTACACATAAATTCATAAAACTTTCAGATTCATTCAGAAGTTCAACAAGAAGCAAGCTCATTTCAAAATCCTGGAAAATCCCAGTTCTAATCATTTATTGTCATTTTCCTGTAAATTACCTATGTGGAGATAAGTGGTTGTTTTATTTGTAACCTTGAATGCTAATTTCCAGTATAAAATTTAAATGATCAAAAAGTACTGTACAGTGCATGACAAATACTTGTGGTTACTCGTCTATAGAGCCAACCCTGTTGGCTTCATTGTCTGATGACAGAAAGACAAAAATGAATAAAAGAAGCTATGATGCTTGCTCTAGTAATTCCTACAATATAGTTTCTGTATTGTGGTCTTTTCAAAGCATTCAGGGAACTACTATCAGGTTATAAATCATATATATATATATTTTAAGGAACACCTTACTTGTGTTACTAATTCCACCACATATAATTAAAAATGAAAGATTTTGAAAATCTATTCTCCTGATTCTGCAGTTGGAGCTTCCCATATGGAGCTCCACTGACATCAGTCAAGCACGAGCAGAGCCTAATTTAGGCCCAATCTTGTTCTGCACAATGCAAGAGGTCTGTCCACAGAGAGCAGTTTGGAGGATCAGGGCCTTAGTGTTCACAAGAAATTGATAGTTTACCTTTGTATTTCATGCCACTTAGATAATAAAAGCAGACTAATTTGTTTCACTTGTGTTTATATATAGTCGTTTTCAGTCTGGGGCTTTGGCACACTAGGTCAATGTTGCAGCATTTGTATAGTAAAAACAGCAGGGAGAGATTTGGCTCTAGGAAAAAGCTATTTTCATTTGAATTTTTAGATAATTATACATACAATATGATGGGGGCTAATTTAGCTACAACGAATCAGGAAAAAGATCTTGGAGTCATCATGGATAGTTCTCTGAAGACGTCCACGCAGTGTGCAGAGGCGGTTAAAAAAGCAAACAGGATGTTAGGAATCATTAAAAAGGGATAGAGAATAAGACAGAGAATATATTATTGCCCTTATATAAATTGATGGTATGGCCACATCTTGACTACTGCGTACAGATGTGGTCTCCTCATCTCGAAAAGGTTCAGAGAAGGGCAACTAAAATGATTAGGGGTTTGGAACAGGTCGCATATGAGGAGAGATTAAAGAGGCTAGGACTTTTCAGCTTGGAAAAAAGGAGACTAAGGGAGGATATGCTAGAGGTATATAAAATCATGAGTGATGTGGAGAAAGTAGATAAGGAAAAGTTATTTACTTATTCCCATAATACAAGAACTAGGGGCCACCAAATGAAATTAATGGGTAGCAGGTTTAAAACAAATAAAAGGAAGTTCTTCTTCACACAGCACACAGTCAACTTGTAGAACTCCTTGCCTGAGGAGGTTGTGAAGGCTAGGACTATAACGGGGTTTGAAAGAGAACTGGATAAATTCATGGAGGTTAAGTCCATTAATGGCTATTAGCCAGGATGGGTAAGGAATGATGTCCCTAGCCTCTGTTTGTCAGAGGGTAGAGATGGATGGCAGGAGAGAGATCACTTCATCATTACTTATTAGGTTCACTCCCTCTGGGGCACCTGGCATTGGCCACTGTTGGTAGACAGGATAACTGGGCTAGATGGACCTTTGGTCTGACCCAGTACGGCCGTTCTTATGTTCTTATAATTCTGAAAATAATATGATCCAAATTGTGAACCAAATTTGACCTGATACAGCCCTTTAAATATTAATGACTAGAAAATACTTATATATTCCAAGATACGAAAATGTGTCATCTCAGGAATGAAACAAAGGGAAAGCTAAGAAAAAGCATAGCTGCAATACTACTAGGGGTATGTCTACACGATGGAGCCTATGCTGGCCTAGCTATTCTCATATAGCCCCCTAGCATAGACACAGCCTATACTAAGGCCTGGTCTACACTGCAGGGTTAGGTCAACGTAAGCTCTATAAACTGATTAAGTAACACCGCCTCCCCGAGCAGCATAGAGTCAAGGTCAATATAATTAGGTTGATTCAGTGTGACAGTCAGTGTAGACACTGTGTTGCTTACATCGACTGTTACTGGCTCTCAGGAGCCATCCCACAATGCCCCACACTGACAATACAATTAGTACAAGCACTCCTGGTGAGGAAGCGCACTGCCAACACAAGGAGCTGTGGGCACACAACACAAGCAATTTAATAACTGTGGTGGCTATATGCCGACATAAGTTAGGTTGACATAATTTTGTAGTGTAGACATGGCCCAAGAGAAGAGTTTTGGGGTTGTTGGGTTTTTTTGGTTGGTGTAGGAACACCACCTCCCCAAACATCATTAGCTATGTCAACAGAAGCACTCTTCTCTTGCATAGCTGTGACTACACTAGGGGTTTTGTTGACACAGCTATTTTGGTCAGGGGTGTGGTTTTTTCACACCTCTGATTGATGTAGCTATGCCATATAATGTTGAAGTGTAAACAAGCTTAAAAGGCACAGAGCTGTAACCTTTAGCAGTAAAACTGCAAAATGACTCCCTCAAGTCGTCAGCTAGTTAGCTTTCTCAGATTTAAAGGGCCAGCTGCCAGTAGAGACCATACTGGGAAAAACCCTCCTATAAAAGGGAGCTCCAAGTACAGTGCTTATTGATATGGTACCTGCTTTTTGTAGATTTGGACCTTTGATGAAAAGTATGGCAAAGTTTTCATAACTAAAGTTAGGTGTGTGATCTATAATGTAAATTTATCAAATGTGTTAAGTAGAACACCAACACAAGGAGCCAGGTCTTGATGGTGTGTTTTCCAATCCTGTTAGATCAATAAAATTGAAAAAACCCCTCAAGATGCAAGCTAAAGTGTTTAAAGCTGTTAGATGGGCTTCAGACTTGTTAGCCTGCATATTGACTGGGCTTTTCAATGTGTGTTAAACTAACTTGATGAGCTAACAATTTAAAAATCCTTTTTTGCCTGTCAAGACAGGGCCCAGTGAGAAGGAGAAGGAGAAAGAGAGAGGCCCTCATTCAGCAAGTTCATAGACTCATAGACTTTAAGGTCAGAAGGGACCATTATGATCATCTAGTCTGACCTCCCGCATGATGCAGGCCACAAAGCTGTCCCAACCCTTTCCCTTGACTCTGCTGTTGAAGTCCCCAAATCCTGTGGTTTAGTGACCTCAAGTAGCAGAGAATCCTCCAGCTAGTGACCCCTGCCCCATGCTGCGGAGGAAGGCGAAAAACCTCCAGGGCCTCTGCCAATCTACCCTGGAGGAAAATTCCTTCCCGACCCCAAATATGGCGATCAGTAGAACCCCGAGCATGTAGGCAAGATTCTCCAGCCAGACCCTCATTGACCATTGATACTATTTACCAGCGATGGCACACTGTTCATTTGACTAAAATCATGTTATCCCATTAAACCATTCCCTCCATAAACGTATCTAGCTTAATCTTAAAACCAGACAGGTCCTTCACCCCCACCGTTTCCCTCGGAAGGCTGTTCCAATATTTCACCCCTCTGACGGTCAGAAACCTTCGTCTAATTTCAAGCCTAAACTTCCCCACGGCCAGTTTATATCCATTCGTTCTCGTGTCCACGTTAGTACTGAGCTGAAAGTTACTTAAGCACTCCTGAAAATGTAAACCTTAATCTCTCTGAGCCTCAGTTTCCCCCTGTTAAAACAAAGATGATGCCTACCCCCCAGGTTTGTTATCAGGCTTCTTCATCAATGTTTATAAAGCATTCTGCGTGCCACAGAATTGGAAAGTGCTCTACAAAGCATGAACTATTACTGAATATGCACTAACTTCTGTTTTCAAACAATCATTTATGCCAGTTCTACTTGATCATGAATCATTATAAACTCTACAAAGTAAAGAAACCCCAGGAAGAAGAGGCCAGTGAATGTTCATGGGAAGGACTCATCTTGTGTGGTTATTAAAGGAACTTTGCTGGGGGGAACTGAGACCCAACCCCTCGGCCTTGTGAAAAGATTTTACAAAACCCAGGATTCCTAGAAATGGTTTTCGCTTAATAACGGTTTGGGTTTAGAAGTTCCCCTTGCGGTGTTTTCACCGAAACATCGCAGCACAGGGCCGCTGCTAGGAGCGGCAGCGCGCGTGGCCTCCCCGGCCGAGCTCAGCCGCCGCGAGCAAGGAGCGCCAGGGGGGAGAAGTTCTGCGGCAACTTTGCTCGTCTCCTATTGGAAAGGGGAGGTGAGCAGACGTGGGGGCGGAGCGGGATTTCCGTCGCACGGGGGTAATGCCGGGTTCTCCAGAGAGGCCTCTGGGGTCACAGGCGGGGCAGAGCCCGAGCTGCGCAGGCTGGGGGTGGAGCTCTGTGCCAGCCTGCTGCCGCCGGGGGAAGCCCTGCGCCGGGCTGGCCGGGAGCCAGGCCGCAGCGGCAGGAGGCTCCTCCGTGCCCGGCCCCCACTGTGCGTGCGGGGAGCGCGCCTGACCCAGCCATTGTTTCCTATCTCCGCACCGGCGTCAGTGGAAAATCTCCCCACCTGCCGCGCCTGGGTCGGGCTATTTATCCGGCAGCGCTGCCGTCACGGAGAGCGGCGCTGCTGACGGGGGAGCTGACGCTCTTGTCCGCTACCGCCGGGCTTGTGGCGGCTACAGTGGGGCTCTGGGTGGCGCTGGGAACGGGGCGCGGACCCCGCCGCAGCCCCCGCTTTCGCCTCCTCCTGGCCCCGGCTGCGGCAAGTGGGGGCCGGGCGCTGCTGCTAGCGCCGCCCCCGGGACGCGCCTGGCCTTGTCCTGCCTCCCCTCCTCTGGCGGCGCCCGGGCTGAGCCTGGGGAGCGCGGCTGGGGCACGGCGCGGATGGGAGGGACGCGCGGCGGACAGCGCAGGCAAGAGAGGAGCCAGGTAATGTCACAGGCAGGTGCGGGGGGAGGGGTGCGCGCGCCGCTTTATGGGGGACCAGTCCTGCAAGCAACACACAGAAACTTCGGCTCATAGCACCCTGCCCCTTTCCCCCCGTAGGCGCTGCCCGGGGCTGTGGACGTGTAACGATGCTCCTTCAGCTGCCTAACTCTCTGTTGTCCCCACACGCCCACTCCACCAGTGCGGGGCTTCCGGGAGAGTCCAGCTGCAGTCCCATAAAGTAGCAATCGTGGGGTGGGGTGGGTGACTGCCCTGCCTGCTCCCCCAGTAAAGGAGCGAAGGTAGGACCCGGCCTTCCAGCCAAGCGTAACTGCTTTTTCTCGAAACAGCCCCGCGAATTTAAAGTTGAAAATTAAACTCCAATAAAGCTTTTGCCTAATTTAACTTAACCGAGGTTTCTGTCGCCCTGGCAGGCTGCCTGCCTGTCTCGATTTAATGGCGTTAAGCTCGGCTTTTTTTACACAAGTACAATTCCATCAATAGTTTTCTGCACAGCTGGATTTCTGCTGGGTGCAGATGTTGCTAATGGCAGCTTAAGCACGGATGGGCAGATAACATATGGAATGCAACATGTTGCCATATGGTCCGTTTAGCCTTTCACCTCCAAGAATATCAATCAAATATGTTCTGGGAGAAATTTAATGACTCTCTGAACAGGAAGATGAATTGCTTGGTACAATTTATATTCCTTGACCTGATGCTATATAACAATAAGACAGTAAATGGAACTCACAGTTTTTATAATAAGAATGTGACCAAATGGGGCTAGATTTCCAATACTATAAACATTTGCATGTTAGGATCTTGACAGCTGTCAAATTATTCAGACAGTGAAGCGTGCCCCAATAAAAACATGTCCACAATAAAAATGGACAACCACAGCTTCCACAGTCTTCAGTAAAATTGCCTACATGTATCTCTCAAAACATTTGAAAGTATAAAACATTATTAATTATAAACACTCCAATATCTAAAACTATCCACACTTGTACAGCGTGCTAGTATGGACCAGGAATGGGGAAGAAAGGAGAGGTGCTATAGAACTAAATATTAGGATTCTCCAAAAAAACTAGGGAAAAAGATCCTGATAAATTTGTTGCTTCTCAGTAACTTCAAACAGGTTTACATCAGGGACCACATTTATCTTTTTATGACCTAAAGTTTTTGACTTCAGTATGATTGATTAAAACTTTTTGGCAGGAATTGCACTTGCAGAAAAATTAAGTAGCTAACAATTCTAACTGGAACGGGTATGTGTACCCTTTCATCTGTTTATCTTATACTTTGAGTGTTACATATATCTTGGATGTAAAATACTTAGGTCCCAAACCAACCCCCAAATAAATAAATGGAAAGCCTCCTATTGCCTCCAGTGGCTGTTGGATTGGTCCCTTAGAGAATTTACAAAGCCTCTAGTGTTCTATTTTAGTGTCACAGTTGCAGTGTTTTGAAGTGTGAGCAGACTCTAAAGGACCTGCTTACCTGAACCTCCAGAGTATTTATTTATAAATGGTTGGTTACCTGTGTATAAATAGAGTAATTTAATTTAAGATTAAAAAATATCAGTGACAGACTCAAAATGGTTATGTGACGGATTATAAATCTCTTTCCTTCTTTTATTGTATTAATTTATTTCCATCTTGAATGACATATCAGAGGGAAAGAATACAATACATTAATTAATGTAAAAGTGCCTTTGAAAAATTAACTCAGAGTTTTTCAAAGGCACTTTTACATTAATTAATGTATTGTATTCTTTCCCTCTGATGTCATTCAAGATGGAAATAAATTAATACAATAAAAGAAGGAAAGATTTATAATCTGTCACATAACCATTTTGAGTCTGTCACTGATATTTTTAAATCTTAAATTAAATTACTCTATACACAGGTAACCAATATAGATTGCAAGTTCCTCGGGGCAGGGACTGTCTCTTTGCTATATGTTTATACAATGCTTAGAACAACAGAGCTCTGGCCTCTAGGTGGTATTGTAAGACTAATAATAAATATTACTGTATATCTTTCTATTATGGGATAAACCTGATACATTAGTAAGAACAATTTGGTCAACTAATAGAAAATGTTTTATGCTCCCCAAAATAGATATACCATAAACAGGATATGTGATCATATTTTAATTAATATACCATATGTTTGGAGGTGTGTATGTATCATGTGAAAAAATTCTGTTGTTACATGAAGTTATTTCCTTTTCTCAACAGAAAACTAGACTCTTTCTCTCAGTATACTGGCACCATTCTTTTTCCATTGGCTGCACAAAGAGTAGAATTGAGCCCCTATTCCTAGTACATAATTACAGAAGCCTTTCCATCTAAATATGTGAAGGCAAAGTTTGAGTTGCCCACATATGAAATAACTTATCATGTTAGGCACAATGAGTTATTGCCATTTTGCCAACAAGGATAAAAAATGCTGTAGAGCCAAGATTATCAAACCGCATAAAATAACTCGTTTGACTTAAAAAAACAAACAAACAAACAAAAACATTTTGATCAGAACATGCTTAGAAAAAAATGGTATTCTGTTAATGCTTCTTGTATTTAACAGAATTTCCAATGGATGAATATTGTGGCAAGTACATAGGGGGCAAGTGTCACTGTGTTGTGATTTTAATCAGTTATTGTGTTCCTTATACAACTACTGTCTTCCTTATACAACTCTGCCTGATTGAGAACTTTTAAAAACAAACAAATAAAACTGCACAGAATTATAAAGGTCCCTTTGAGGGGACCTACATTTCTATGAGTCTCTATGATTTTTGTTTTTACTCATTTTCACTTTTAAAAAATGCAAACCTCTTCTACAGGCATTAGTTCTGTGGTTTTGTTTGTTTGTTTGTTTGTTTTGTTCTCTATGAACTGATTCTGTTCATGCATGTCCCACTCCCACAAATGACTTGTGTAGAATTACTGTTTTAAAGTCCTAGGTAACATCCATTATAATTTTAACTTAATCCTGTAGTCCTAAACTCAGATAAAGGTCCTCATTAAAGTCAGTGGGGAGCTTTGGCTGAGTAAGGACTGTGGAGTCAAGGTCTATGTGGCTGATTGCCAAAATTAGCCCTATAGAAGGATTGAACTGCATTTGAACCTGTCACCATTATTCTAATGACCTGGGGAGGGAATCACATTGTTAGTGATTGGTAAAACATTGGATTTTAAAGTATTTGTTTAGATATGGGCCTTCTAAAATTTGGACTTCAATGCCAAAAAGGATTCATTATTCACATTCTTATCTCTTAAATTGCCAACTGACTGGAACATTGATTACATAATGGTGCATATACTTCATCTGTGGAAGGAAAGGAGACGGAATTTGAAAAAATGCAAACATCACATATTGTGGATCCTAAATGCATTAATTTCCTTATAGCGTAATTCTGATTGCATTACAACCACAGCTGTTTATCGTTCACTCTGATGCATTAAAATATTTTGCACTTTTGCTTCTCATTTTGATGTAAGAGCTATAGCAATATGTGACAAACTTTAGAGAAAATCA